TATAGTGTATCAGTTTCCAAGGAAAGAAAATGCGAACAGATATACTCCATGGCCAATTTTCTGACTGCAACTCTACTTACATAAAAGCAAAGCATCTGCTGGCAGTTTTCACAGGCACAATCCTCAATGTATTTGTCACAAATGCTTTGTAAATCTCGTGCGCCCTGTGAAGTAGTCAATATGCTCAGGCACACATGTACACGATTTTTGAAGCAATTTTGAAGAAATGGAATTGTGGGCTTGTGCATGATGCAACGATGTGTATGTAAATTCCCTGATTTGGTGACAACTGAAGTGAGGCTTAAATTGCGGCGAGTGTTTGAGAGCAGTTTACCGTTAGATACTTGTGTTGCTGGCCGCGCAAATTTGTTGTATTACTGGCCAACGGGCACGACGCCTGGCAACGTGCTTATATTGGGGCAGTGCAAAAGCACCACAGGCGTTGGGATCTATGGGCGAAGGCAAGCGAGCTGGGATGCGATCGCAGAGCTCACAGTGGCGGTGATTGCAGCGTGCGCCGCAGTTTCACGGCTACCATGGATAGCTTTTGCAATCACAACTTGCAATTCACAAGCAGCAGCCGGCATGAACTGCCGAGGAAGTGGCTGTGAGGCGACCACACATTGCAGTACCCCTTGTAGCCAGGCTTGGTCTTTACGGCGTAATCACGTTTCTATTTCTATCCTGTGTACTTAAGGACAGTATATACCGACTCAAGTAGTTCGGGGAGCGGTGGCTTGACGAGCTTAAATGTGCAGAAAACGGCTTTTTGCTCGACGACTTCATTGCCCTTGCCGAGGGCGAGGTGGACGCTGCGTTACCGCTGCTCGAGAGGTTGGATAACTTGCCATTGTTTGATACATCATCACGTCATCTGGCCGTGTCGATTGGGCATTCTTGAAGGAAAAGCCGTTGATGCGATTCAAACGGCCCCCTTTGGAGTGCACACGGGAAGCGCGAATCCACGATCGCCGATGCTTCAACGGGTTGGCGCACGGCCAGACGCAAGGCCACACCACACACGAAACGGCCGGGGCTTACATATTTGTTCACTCTTCCCACAGCAAAGAGCCTTGCCGACGGTGGCAACGACCCCCGCAGCCGAACCGTGCGAATCTTCTTGCACCAACAGAACTCTTCTTTCGACATGACAACGACCACCATCCATCAACAACCAGCCATGCGACATTTCAAAGATGCCCACTCATCACCACAATAATTCTGTGAATCCTAAAACACGTTTTTCTTTTTTCTTTAGATTCGGAATGTCTTGCATATAAACCATCTTCTTGATGTGTATACAAGTCGCGCACCATAATGCATAAGTGATCCACCTAGTGAAACGGTGGTCATTATGCGGTGTTGCGAACACCATGCATATGCGTAAATACGGTCGTAAAAATGGCCGTTTCTTTATTTACGGGTTTCTACGCGTGAAAGCATAGGCCAAGCCTGCTGGTAGCACTGTGGGGATGGTTCAGAACCGCAATGATGGTGCTGTTTTCGCATGTTGCAATATACTATCGTTAAATATTGAGAGAAGCATCAAAACAAGGTTGAAGCGGGAGGGGGTCACTGAGCTTAACGTCCATTTGACGCTAAGCGTACAAAATTCAAAATAATGTCTTCCCTAAAGTACACTGTTTAAACAACGTAATACGGGTATCAGTATACGGGTATGGACATACGGGTATACCGTATGCAGGACTGCGACTTTCCACAAGACGGTCACAGCCAGGGCCCTGGTTGACCGGGCCGTGCCAGGTGTACTATGGTATGGGGCTTGGACCTGCCAAGACATTGGCTGTGACTTACTTTCTTGATATATAATACAGGGTGTTAATGTAACAATTCTTGACATACACTGATGAAGGCAGGCTGGGTCGAGGGGTGGCGATCCCTGAACGGGAATTGTACGCTCGAGTCCAGGGCAACGGTTTACAGCCGAGGCAAACAGACAACAAGCGTTCTGTCTTTTATATTCAGTTCGTTCATCAACATCCTTACTGCAATTCCTAATGCTTCGTCATCTTTTCATACATTCAATTATTAATAACACTCAATCAGTTCCAGCTGTAACAACACTATATGAGTGTAGGGTACATTTACGTCTGGGGCTCAGACCCATCAGGACACTGTGTGTGACCCACCTTCTTTGATGCGCACACGATCACTCACTCACACATCCTACTGGTTTTGCTGATGGTTCCCTCATTGCGTCGTTGCCCTTCCGCGCGAGGTCGTGAACCTGTCGCGAAGCGGAAACGAGCGCCTGGCAGACCCGGGCAGCTGAGATGGAGACGCCTGGGGACGGCGGGGACTCTCCAAGGTGTGCACGCGTCCAGCCTGTGGAGACAGCACGCGCGAATGCCGCATTGTGCAACTGCCGCACACTCGGCGAATTAGAGGAGGAGAACAACTACCCAACGTTGGGATGGGGACAATCCGCTGCGTTGGGGCTAGCTCGGGTGGAGAAAGCCACAGCCAAATCAAAATACTATGCAGCTGCTGTAGTGGCACTCCGGAAGTGTGAGCGATTGGCGGGGTTCCCATCGGCCTGCACTGGTATGATCTTCAAGTCGATTTTGGACGGCCCCTGTTGCAATGCTTCACATGGACCTTACACGATGGAAGGGGACTGGCTTGAGGGCTGATGCACACTTCTTTGTCCCTGCCAGTGACCTGTTAAGTTGTATGCTGATAAAGGGAAAGGCCTTCGGGAAGGGCTTGCTTTGTTAATTTGCGCAATGAATGTGCAAAATCAAACACCAGTACATATGATTTTGTGAGCAGGAAAATCTGTGTAAACTGGAGCAAATACTCTGGATAGTGTCATATGCCCATCATTGGTTCAGTTCATGTTGCTGTGTAATGGTCACTGGATTCGACCAATGCATGCATCAACACGAACTGGATCCACGCCAATGGAGACCTTTCTTTCACAGCACTCGTGTACGTTATTGCAAAGAAGTAATTAGAGCACTTGCAGAGGGGAAAATGTCAGTGCAGAAAACAGATCAGACATCATTCACTTTCAGCCGGTGTCGATGCAAAATGTGTTGTTGCTGGTCCTGTGATTATCTTTGCCCTATTTATTTCTGCTAACATGTGTTCAATACAATGGTCACCGTCTGACAGTCAGTTCTGATTGTTCTGTGTTCAGCTGCCCAATGCCTGTGCCGATGCCCCACCACCCAACTGTCGACTTGGACGCCGTACGGTATAGCAAATGGACAGGAGGATTACAGCAACTGAGCGGAAAAGCTCTGTTCTTGCATGTTGTGCCATTCACAGACAGTCCAGACTGAACAGACTTATTCTGTGATGCTCAAGCTGCATTGCATGCTGCTTGAGTTCTTGCCTGCTGTTGGCCAAAGGCAAAGTTCTTTTATTTCTGTGAATTGTATTAGTTGACAAGGCAATTGCTTTAATTTTGATAATGACAGGGATAATACATCACCAAACACAATGTTTGTCTCCTTGCAGTCAGATGGGATCCCCAAAGGGTGCCACATTCGTCCTAGGTTTTGAAATAGGTTTTGGCACCTGCCAATCGGGTTGGTACAGATCGGGCTTGTGCTCAATGTACAGCTTTGGTCCTAGACCTGCACCCAACATTGCAGCCTTGCTTGGGTCTTTGGGCGTGCTGGCAATAGTTTTGGTGTGGAATAGGCACACATGTCATCTGGAAACACCACTTTAAATTGTAAACAACACCACACATCATCTGATAGATGGCTCGTGTGTTCTTTTGACATGTTTTACCACATACATTCAATCAGCATTACTTGGATCTGCCAGGCAGACCTGCTTAGAATGTGGCTGGCACGTCATGCAGGTAATTCAAGCTGCCTTGGATGAAGATGCTGGAAACTGTGGTGACATCACCAGCTTGTCAACGTAAGGCTGTTTTTGCATGCTACCTTTGGTGTGGTGTGCACACCGTTGCACTTCTTAACTGCTTGTTTCTTCAAAGTAATGCAGCATTCGGTGTCAAAGTTCACTCAAACAGATGTCCATTCTAATTTGTTGTAGCTTTATGTGTCCGTGATGCACTCTATGTCAAGTGCATTTTGTTTAGAAGCAAGAAATGTGGGTTAGCAAGAGTGCAACAAACCTGAAGGTATGTCAACTCCCTGGATTGCATCTACTGCAAAAGCACATCTGGATGACACAGATGGATAGTTTCTCATGTTGCATGATGGGCTCTTTAGGTTTCTTGTCTGACAATTTGAGGACATGATAGCCATTGTTGGCCGCATTCATGTTTTTGTGTTCTGGACCTCAGCTTCATATCATCCATTTCAGGCATAGACATGTTTATGGCTTAGCTGTTTGAGTGCATGGAGTTGGGCCCCATGAATTGAATTGTGCCTAATTTGACTGACATGCATGGCAAAACAACGTTTGTGTGCTCTTCTTGGCTTTCTAAGTTTCCATGTATCCACATCGACAGAATTTATCGCTGTTTCGCCATTGGGAAATGTCTGCAAGTGTGTCTGCTCGACAAAGCAAAGTGCATTGTGGGCAAGGAGCGCAACTGGTCCTGATGAACGTGATGCAGCTCATTTCATAGACCAGCCGGGTGAAACAGCATGAGGAATGTCTCGGACCATTCTCATTGACCCAAATGATTGAAACTGCAGTGTTCAAAATCACTTTATGCTTTGGGACCATGCTGCTGATACAGAATGGTCCCTGCACTGATGCTGGCCGCTGGTGGCAGCTGCAGCTCCAGCTTCAGCATTGTTGTGCTGTGATTAATATCTGCATGCAGGGTCCCAGAGGATACAAGGGCTTGTGGCCTTTTCATAGCAAAGGCACAAGGGGTGTTAGCAGGCGTGGCAGTGGCACATCGAACTTTTGAACTTGTTGATCCCCAGCTGGATGCAGACTGGGATGTGGTTGATGGTCAGCCAGTCTCACCCGGAGCAATCATCGGCGCAGTGTCTGGCAGCGCAAGATCCATTCTGGTTGCAGAACGCATAGCCTTGAATTTCATGCAGAGAATGAGCGGCATTGCCACAGCGACGAGCAAGATGGTGGAGGCAGTGAAGGGGACAGATGCAAAGATCCTGGACACAAGAAAGACAGCCCCAGGGCTGCGGGTGCTGGACAAGTGGGCCGTCCTAATAGGAGGGGGCAACAACCATCGAATGGGCCTGTTTGACATGGTGATGATCAAAGACAATCACATTGCTGTGGCAGGGGGGATCAAGCCAGCAATCAGCCGGGCCACCGAATATTTGCAGCAGAACGAGCTTCAGGGCACAGGGATCGAGGTGGAGACGAGCTCGCTGGATGAGGTTCAAGAGGTCCTTGAGGCGTTGGATGAGATGCCGAACTGCAGAGTGATGCGTGTGATGTTAGACAACATGGCAACGCGGGATTCAAAGAAGCCTGGTGGCGTGGACACTTCCTTGCTCAGGGAAGCCGTGGCCAAGATTGACAGGAGGGTGGACACAGAGGCATCAGGCAATGTCACATTAGAGTCCGTCAGTGAGATTGCTTCCACTGGAGTGACATTCATATCCTCAGGGGCGTTGACGCACTCAGTTGCCGCATTGGATATCTCCCTGAACATCAGCACTTCTTAAACGTGCCTCATGGGGAGGACACCTTTGGAAGTCCATTGAACTGCATCCCACCAATTGCCACGAAAGCGCAAACCTCCTGTGTAAAGCACATGATTGATGGCGTTGCTGAAAAACAGCAAAACACAGCTCTTGCCCTGCAGGGCGACGTTGCAACAATTGCATGCACGGCTCTCGGAATGCTGGCCTTGTGAGCCCATGGGTTTCACGCTTGAGATTTTGAGGGCTCGACGTAGGGGCTCGTGGCCCACAGAATGCACTGCCAAAGCTGGTCTGCAAAGGGACTCATGGGAATGGCGTCATGCTGCACCAGACGAATTGGATGCTGTTGGATGCTGTTGGATGCTGAACTACGTTCCATGCCATACGGTGGTCGTCGAGCATGTTCTTCTCGGCAGACACCTGAAACCAATGATTCCAGGGCTACAGTGCGCTCATGCTTTCTTTGTGTGGAAGCCTGCAGGGAAATTACCCCTCCTGCAACAGCCGGTCTTGCATCCATTTCCCCATGAACCGTTACCGTGACAGCAGCGGTGCCCATTACCATTCGGGTATGCTGGTGTTCATGGCCATCTACTCGAAATCTTTTATCCAGGTCGCAAGACCTCCAAATTGGGCTGAACTGCATTCGAAAACAACTTTTGATCGCATGGACGTGTACACAATTCCATACCGTTGCCGTGTACCGCAACATGTGCAAGGAAATGTTGCACATGGCGGAAATTATCAGATTTGCGCCCACTGGCAAAATTATTTGCCCTCTGCTTGTTTGGATCCGTCTGACATAGTCACGAGCAGTGAGCATGCCCCTGAGTGTGTAGGAGTCCATCGAAATTTGCGAGCAAATCTGCTCCATTATCAGAAGAATGTCACTGAACGGTTGCAAATACGATGGGGAAGGTACGGCCGGCAATGCGTTGGACGCATCGCCCACTGATGCCTGATATCAGCCATTGACGCTTTGTAGCATTTCAATTGAATTGCTTTCACTTTCACCAGGTCATGTGACCAATGCCGTCGGCTTTCATGCCTGAGGCATTGGCATACCAGATTTCCATTGCAAGGTAGTTGCCCATATGTTTGCATTTATGTGCTAAAGGGCATGCTAGTGCGGCGACGGTAATTAGAGCATTGCCACTGGAGAATCTGTGGGATTTGCACACGACGGTGAATGCTTGCAAGCGGAGGAGACAATAGAAGGAAAGAACTGGCGGGTTTTGGCAAGGCCGTGTGGCACGTATCTACTGGGGGTACGCATTTGGCATTTACTTGGTAGCAACATATTTGCTGCTTGTTGCTTGCGCCTTGTAAAAAGCGTTTGCGTGGAAGGAACCCCAGCTCAGCAGGGGGGCGCACTGAGATAGATAGTTCTCATTCAACGGGTTTTGCTATATTGCTGCTCTTGAATTTAAGTTGTTTTCGTGAGCAGAAACATTCAACGGGCATGCCCGTATTAGCCGCAGCAAAGCCCACAAAGTGAAAAAGGCTATATTTCTAAACGCAGATATCCTGAGCAAAGCATGGCGTCGGTGCCAATAGGTGACTAGTACAAACAATTTGGAATTTAATCAATTGCTCACTCAAGTTACTTCATTGCTTACTTGGCTTTCCATATTTGATGCAGTGAAAGAGCTGAAACAGTTCGAGACTAGATTGTATGAATACACTACAACATGTGCACATATACCAAAATTAGTCTTGTACCATTCTGTACTGCAGAACTATTATTGGCGGCCTCATGGAAAGGAAAGCCTATCTGCTTCCCTTCAACGCAACATGTAGCCAGCACCTACTTCCTTGACTTGAAATGAAACATTCTTTGACCGTTTGAGGGAGGTTTATTTTCTGCCCCTTGCATCCCCTCCTTGACCGACGGTGCGCCCCTTCAGCCCATGCACACAAGCTGTAAATTCGCGGCCCGGTCCCGAAGCAGGCGCCTTCCCTGTCAACACACCCCTCGCTGGAACCTGGATTCCACAGCAACCGTGACAGCGGCCGTGGCAGTGACAGTGACGGTGAAGGCATGGCCACAGCGCCCGCCGCCGTGAGCATGACCCGTGGAGCCACCACACCTCCCTCTGACAGCGCCTACGTTGAGGGCGACTTTCAGCGAGCTGGAGCCTGCATGGAAATCCGACGTCAAAGGGTGAGAAGATACACACGCCGCAAGGCCGGGGCAGCGGAAGTGTTGCTGACGTCAGGGCAAAGTGGAATACGGAGGGCTGCGTGCAGCTCAAACGAGCTCTTGCAAGCGTGCGTCATGATATTCCCACTGCCCACAATACTGACCCTATCGAAGAACAGCGCAGAATCTACGACTCGTGAAGTTGGGGTCTGCGACAGCTGTCGCAGACTTGCAGGGTGGGACGTTTGGCCCATAGAACGTCTTAGAGAGGGGCACGCGCTGAATTTACGTGGCGCGCCCGTGGGAAATTGTCGTTTTTCACTCGCTGTTGGCTATTTTTTTTCGCACTCGAGTACATCAGTGGCAACCTGCGCACCCCAAATTGTGAGGTGACGCTCTGAAGACGGCGGGTTACAAGATCTGCTTGGCTCTGAGGAGTGGCCCACAGCTGCCGAACGCTGATTTTTCACGCGGAGTTTAACCAGACTGCGGATTGAATATTAAAACCAACAGAAAACTCTCAACACATCCCCGGGGGGGGGGGGGCTGCAGCAGGACCACATGTCCAACATGGCGGAAGGATGCGGACATTGCAATCAAGTTTCCAAAGGAGTCGGTACTTAAATAAAGAAGTGGGCGGGTGCGCATTAGCCCACTACCTCACTTGATGAGCAGTTGGCCTCGCACTCCATCCATCGCGTGGCTACGTCATGCCGAAATAATGCTGCATCGCCCCAAATTCAATGAAGAGCCGCCACCGTGCTATCAAAAATGAACGCTTGCACATTTTGAGACGACACAGTTCTGGGAGTACATCAAGTATTTCTCCCATCACAGAAAATATGTGACACACTTTTAGCCGAGACTGCTGCAATTGCAGGTCTCGATCTTCATTACCACAACTATAATGCACAATGGAGTACGTGATCATGAAACAACTGCTGAAGCTGCTGTGGGCCGTTCCAGTGTCGCAACAGTTAACAATAGACTAACATTTCCGCTGTTGAAATTATGCATATTGTGTATGCGCAACGGCAATGGTCGTTCCTGCTCAATTACAGGATTCGGATAGTACCCAATTACAATCGAAATCTCATCTACTCGTGCGTGACTGAACGCCCAGTAGTCACTACTTTGTGTGATGCATTTGTGCGTACACTCTGGTCACGGGCTTCAAATAGGTGCTCCGAAGACAGTTCAGCTCTGTGCAAAAAACCAAATCCATGGAAATCATTATTTCTGCCTTACCGGTCTCCTGAGCCCACACGGTAATGCGCTCCCCAATGACAAATACTTACAATCGTACCGCAAACCAACGTATTGCACCCGAGGTCCCCATACTCACAGTTTGCCCTTCGCTTCGCTAGTATTTGACGCCACTCAACGGGTGACTCACCCCATGAGTCCGCCCCCTGATCCGTACTTCACTCCTGTCACTCCCTCTCCATCCCACAATTAAACCGGACACCACTCTCTGGGGTGGAAGGGCTGGGTGGAAACAAGATAAAGAGGGGGACCGAGGGGGGAGCCTAAATAGCCGCCTCCGCTCAGCCCCGCCAAAGCCCGCCAAACCACAGGGCGCCCAGCTTTGGCGGCACCTCATACTTTCGCACTTTGACTGGCCCACAGCGCTAGTGTGGCCAGAAATCCCAAGGGGCGAGGGCTGAGTGAGACCCTGGTTCAAACTGCGCCTTTTGAATCACCGGCGCAGCCCACCGGTTGTCTCCCTTCGCAGAAACCCATTAACAAAATTGTTGATTTCATATGCACTAGTGGAAATAGCCGAAACTGTTACGCCAGATGACAATGAATGAGGCCTCATGGGACGCTAATGGGACTGGCAGTGCGATAAAGCGTCCCAGTGCCGCCGCAGTGGCGTCCCAGCAGGCGTCATATATTATCAACTGGCGTCCCAGTTTCCGCCATTTCCACTACTGGCAGGTACTCTTTGGCTTCCGTAATCGACATATGCTTACTTCAAAATAGGCACCGCAATGCAAGAATAATACAATCTCATAAATCATGGAATGGAGACTTGCAATCCCCATGGACGCTGCCAACCTCGATTGTTTTTCTCTGGCTTCTGTAATCGATACATATTTACTTTCAAATAGGCACCGCACTGCAAGAACAATATCTCACAAACCACGGAGTGGAGATTTTCCATCCCTATGGACGCCGCCAGCCTCGATTGTTTTGCCCTTGTTCCGCAAAATTCAGAGCTCAACTTCACGTGGTGCCATGTTTGATCACAACACCTTTGCGACACTCACGAACGACCTTTCCCTGATGGGTAGCCTCGTGACTAAGCCTCACCCGTCAGTTTTGATGCAGGAAGCCTCGCTGGGCAAGACTGCCAGGCCGACGCCATTGACGCCCTCGGGGGGGGACCTTTCTGGGAGTCAGGGAGAGCCACCGGTGCATGTGGCGGCGTGGCTGGCGGCATGCATTTCCCCAAAAGCCGTGTGGGAGAGAGCGGTGGGATGCCTCGCCCTTTCGGGTCCAGTAGACAAGTTTTCTTTTATCATGTGCCGCTTTGGAGATGGCGTCCCTTTGGGTAGCGAGCCACTTCCATTGCCAACGGCTGTGAGTGTGGCAGGGCGGCAGCCCGGGAACCGGAGGAATGATGTGGTATTGGAGTTGAGGGTGACCAGCAGCTGACTACCGTCGAGCCGCTCCCCACCGAAGGTAGGCACGGCATCGCTCGGCATGAAGCTGCCATTGTGACATAGATTCATTCCACCTTAGTGTGCATCGAGTATCGCTGGATTGAATCCTCATCCTGTGACAGACTACTGAAACCGTGCACTGGAAGCATATGCCACGCTTACCCGCTTATTCCTTGGTTGAGAAACTAGAACACATGCTACTTATGAAT